ATTGATCTGATTTCGGCTCTATTGGAGTATACGCCCACACAACGTCTGTCTGCGATCGAAGCAATGTGCCATCCTTTCTTCGATGAACTTCGGGACCCCAATACCAAGTTGCCGGATTCGCGGCACCCCGAAGCCGCGCCACGGGACTTGCCTAACCTTTTCGACTTCTCCCGGCATGGTATGTTGGCATCTTTTATTTCTTCTTTTTAGGCATCCAGAGAACTGACAATCTTTTATTAGAACTCTCTATTGCTCCTTCGATGAACCACCGACTGGTTCCCCCTCATGTACGGCCTGCACTCGCCGCTCGCGGGCTCGATATCGATTCCTTCAAGCCGCTTTCGAAGGAACAAATGATGGCACGCCTCGACTGAGTCTGAGAGCGATGCTCACGAATTGTACGCATGTTCAGAGTGCTATTCTTTGCATAATTGCGCGGAGAAAAAAAGAGTGCGACCCTTTTCTTCTACCGTTATGCAGTACGAGTTCTTTTTCTTTTCTTACCTTGCATCGGGAGGTTTCTGAGTTTGGAAAAGATTTCTTCGGATCTGCAGTCCTCTCTCCTTTGGCGAAGCATCTGAGAGCTGGTTTCTCTGGGGGAAGATCAAAAAGGAAAAAAACGACGAAAAAACCAGAAAAAAAAAAAGAAGTGTCATCCATGTCATGATGGTGGGGAAATAGATCATGACATTTCACGCATGAGGGGATGGGATTTATAGCCTGGAGTTTCGTTTTTTTCGAGGTGTCTGAGACAGCTCTTGGGAGGAAAAAGTGATACCCTTATCTGCGTGAGTCTGCCTTCCGGGATGTAAGTCAGCATAGCTTCATATCTCGAATGAAGGGGTCATGGGAATCAGATTGCTGCAAGTCATATTGAGAAGTATGGAGGGATGAGCGTCCTGTACATGGGTCAGATTTCATGAGGATTTCTATTTCTTTTTTTCTTTCTTGCTTGGTTGCACATGTGCGTGATGTGCTTTTTTAAATATATGTATTGGAGGACTTATTCCAGACTTGCGGCTCTAGAGACCCTTATCCCCCTTTTTCTTTTCTCTTCTTTACATCGCTTTTTTGTTCGTCGCTCTTGTTTTATATCATTTTCTTCGTTGTGAATCCCGGTTTCATTCGCTTTCATGACTCGGCTGATAGTTTGTTTGACACAACTAAACCATGAAGCTATAAGTCTTCTTCAATCCAGAAAGCAGACTAATTGTTTCTTTCCTTCCATCTTTAAGTTTCTTCAAGGCCTTTACTGAGTGGTTTATTCGCGGTGTCGAGTTCAATGGTCCCTGGAAGTCTGTATCTGGTTGCATATCCAGCCTAGAGCTGCTTTGGATATTTCAACTCCCGCCATTTCTATCTTTTGATATTTTACACTGTACTCTGTAGTTAACTTAGGATGTAAATGTATTATGTAATTATCGGAACGGAGCAGCCGCTGTCCCGGACTTCCGCAGCGATTATTGGTCTTTAGCGTTCTGCGCGCATAGCTAGGAAGAGCTCCAAAAAGCTTTGCTTCTTACACCCTATCGCATCGAGATTAACAAACGAATCTCATACGATTGAGTATTATTGAGGTGTTAAAAGAAAGGAGATAATAAAGGGAAAAGCCTCCGCGCATATGGCCGATTACGAGCGCCGCCATAATGGTCCCCCCAGGGGTGGTGGACGCAAGAGGCGTTATAGAGGTCAGTCATTATCATGGATTATTGTACCACTACTTTATAGCTCGTTTTTCATATGTCGCTCACATTTTCTTTTGCTTTTATAGACGATGACGACTTCGACCGCCGTCAGCAACGTCGAAGATACGAAGAACCACTATCTGGCAGAGTCCGGAGACTGCTATTCACGATTGCGGAATCGGTACGGATACTCACGACATCGAATTTCTCTGGTTGTCTTCAGTTCTGACCGTTTTATTGTGGATATAGGTCGTTCGAAGGGTAGAGGATGATGTCGCGTACATTGCAAAGACCGTCGCGGAGAACTACGAGGATGAAGAATTGAGAAATACTTATATCGACGCTACCATTGACCTGTATGTTCTGGAAATACTTTTATGGCGATTGCTTGCGCGATATTTGCAGTTGGCTAACGATACGATCTTCTTGACAGCGCCGTCGAGCAACCGTTGAAGATTCCCTTTGTCGCAGCCACGGTCTTGGTTGCCAATAGCCACAGGTCGGAGCTTGTGGCCGAAGTGCTTCAGAAAGCTAGCAGCACTCTGCAAAATTTTATCAATGTCGGTGCTTGGCGGGAAGTCAAGCTTCTTGTGCGCTTTTTTGGTTGCCTTCAATTCATTTTCGAGGGTGATGGGATCTTTCCATTGTTAGAAGAGCTGTTCGCGCGCGCGGTCGATCAACAGACAGCGTCTTCGGAAGATGTATGCATTGCTCCCATGGTATTTATATGTTTCTAATATGACAATTTGCTGACAATTTGGATTTAGCTGCTAGGACTCGAACTGGTCAAGATCATCCTTTTTACTATCCCCTATGTGATGGCATCTCCGGCAACCGGCTTTGGGGGCCACGCAAACGCCCTCCTTGAAAAGACGGACATTATCGCTTCCACTCCCCATGCGCTTGTCGACCTGGTCAAGCCGTTTCCCAAGGAAGATGAAGAGCCCGTCGCTACACCGAGCATTATTAGTCTCCTCCAGACACAACTCCAGGCCGAGTCCAGTCGGAATTGGGAACTGGTGTGCCTTCCTCGTCCTTGGAACATCCCTCCGGAGGGAGAGGAGGAGCAGAAGCCCTTGGAGCCAGGGACAAGACACGCTTTCCCGCAAATCACCGTTCCCAACCCTGTCCCGAATGGTGCCAGAGCAATCTTTCCCGAGGTCTATCTATCGGTATACGCAAACCAGGAAGTGGAAACGGTGCCTCCGTTGTCTGATATCACATCCTCATTGTTGCGCGATTCCCTGGTCGACACCATCAACCTTCTCGACTTTAACCGTAACGCGACTGCCAAGATGCTGATCGATGTCGACTGCTACTTCACGCCTCATACTTTTGTAAAGCGCGCAACGCCCTTTGACCGGCTCCGCGAACTTCCCCAGGACCGCCCAACATGGAAACCGGAAGATGTTGCTGTTGACGCGGTGTTTTCTCAACTATTCCAACTCCCAACGCCGGAGCATAAACTCGTCTACTACCACTCAGTGCTCACTGAGTGCTGTAAGGTTGGACCTGCTGCTATCGCTCCCAGTCTGGGGCGTGCGATCCGTTTCCTGTACCGAGGCTTGGAGGTGATCGATTTGGATCTCACTCATCGGTTCTTGGATTGGTTCTCGCATCATTTGAGTAACTTTGGTTTTACTTGGAAGTGGAGTGAATGGTTAGTTCGATAACAGGGATTGCTTTCTACGCAGACTGCTAACGTTCACTAGGGTCGATGACCTTGATCTCCCCATCGTCCACCCCAAGATGTCTTTTATTAACGGGGCCATTGATAAGGAAATCCGGTTGAGTTTTGCGCAGCGCATTCGGGGCACCCTGCCCGATCCTTACCAAGACTTGATTACTGAAGGAAAGGAGAAGGATATCCCTGATTTCAAGTACTCTGTAGACAGTGGGTGTTGCATACCTGTAACTACTTATGACTTCTGACTAACACATTTTAGCTACGCCGTACGCCAACGAAGGCAGAGAACTCATGCAACTCATTCGCAAGAAGGCTGGTGACGAAGAAATTCAACCAATCATCGCCTCAATCGAAGAACAAGCCAAGGAACACGGCGTCGAAGAACCCATGCTCCCATCCACCGACGCCTTCGTCACCTCCATCTGCTTCGTCGGCGCCAAATCCCTCTCCCACGTCCTCTCCTGCATCGAGCGCAACAAAGAACGCCTCCTAGCAATCGGCCCCCAATCCTCCCGTGCGCGTAACCAAATTGTCACCTCGGTCATGGAATACTGGGCCGACCAACCAGGTATCGCAATCAACATCATCGACAAACTTCTTAACTACACAATCCTCACCCCCCTCTCCGTCATCGAATGGGCCCTTGTCGAGAACCTCGCTGCAGGCAACATTCTCGCCAGAACCGAAATTTACGAAATGGTTGCCGCGACAATCGGCAAAGTCACCAACCGTCTTCGCCAGATCGTCGCCGCGCGTGTCCAGCCGGGTCTCTACGAACCCCAGCTCAGCGTCATCGACGACACCCTCCACCGCGAAAAGGCAGACATGCAAGCCCTCTTCAAGGTCACGGAGGACTCGCTCGTGTCTATTGCCAACGGCAGTAACGATGAACAGATGGAACGCGGGGACGGGAGTGGTGGTTTGCCGGAAGATGGAATTCTGAGGCAGTGGGGTCACCGTTGGCTTCGGGTGTTCCGGCGGAAGGCTGCAGTTGAGGAGGCGTTTATTGCGGAGGCTATGGCGGGTGCAACGCCGGTTGGGACGGTTGCGCCGCCGCAGCCGGTTCAGCCTGCTGCTTCTGCTGGTGCTCCTGTGCAAGACGCTAATGATGGGGATTTGGATGTTGCAGATGCTGATGCGGCGGGTCAGTAGTTGGATGTTCTGGTTAATTAGGATAAATTACCTATATAATCAGTGTGGTACCTGGTTTCATTCCAAGTTTCTTCGGTACATTTGCATATTTCTGATTAGAACACGAGGCAAAAGAGAAACTTGATATTTCTTTGGACTTAAGATTGAAACGTCTATCATTGATGATTGAAATGCTTTGACTTTCCAGAAAACTATATACACAAGAATTGACGTAAAAGGCAGAGCACATTAGAGTAAATATATCACAAGAAGCAAAATAATTAATGTACTAAACCGAAATTGTTACAGGCCTCGATTAAAAATACTAATGATGTGCCAAAGGCATGAAATCGTAACTCACTTTCCGTTCAAGGAAGCCCAGACCTGCAGACAGAAAACCTCAGAAGCATCTCTCGCATATCGATGGGTTTCTTTTTTTTCCGTTTTTGTTAGAAACTCCAGGGATGGTCATTCCAACCAGCCATGCAAGATATGAAAACCTCGATACAAACACATGCGAATGTAAGAAAGTAAAACGGTTCCATGGAGCCAGGTCGTGGATGCACGCAGTGATACATCAGAGGACTTTCTTCGTCTCTTCCTCGGCCAGGTACTTGCGGTCATCCTCACCCTCAACGTCCTTGAGGATAGTCTCCATCTCCTTGGTCTGTCTCTGCCACTCCTTCTGGTCCATCTTTGTCTCGCGACGGAAAAGTTCTTCGTTGGGCTTCCGGTAGCTACCGCCCATGCGGTCCCACAAGGTGGTGAACTGTCCATAGTTGTAGTTGAAGTAGAGATGGTGCATGGTGTGGCAGGCGGCTCCGTTGATCACAGGGCTGTTGGCAACGTATTCACCGTCGTGGATCAAGACGGTCCAGAGGTTGATGAAACCGAAAAGGAAAACGTAGGCGAGCTTCTGGAGAGGAAAAATGAATGGAAATAGGTGGTAGGGCACACTCTGCGACCAACCGTCCATAGGGTGGAAAGCATGCGACGCGAAGGGACTAGGCATGATCCACTTATGGTGAGGCTTGTGCAAGGTCTTGTAGATCAGAGGGTGGTGCAAGCCACGATGGATCCAGTAGATACAGAGATCGGTGAACGCGATGAACAACGGGAATTGAATGAAGCTGTAGCCCCAGAAAGGCTCATCTGAGAACGAGTCATAGAGTTTGGCGTAACCACGAACTTCCGCGACCAAGAACGGAGCAGTGAGGAGAGACATGATGGGCATGGACTCCATGGTCTGCTTGATTTCCATGGGAATTTGGTTCTTTAGGAATTTCGGGTGATGAACGGTCGACTTGTCCCAGATAAAGATGTAGGAAAGGGAGGCGCAAATGAAGTATGTGATCAAACCGAAAATCCTTTACAAGATTCAACGTAAGTATTAATCACTTTCTAAGAAACTGAGAAAAAGTGGTCGCAACATACCAGACGATCAAGAAGAAACTGAGGAATTGGCGGTAAATGTTGTTTCGAGGCCAGGCGCTCATATACGCATACTTCGAGGGCTCGAGATAGATTAGTTGCGTGGCAGGTTCGTAAACGAAGGGCTGTGTGGCGCCGAAAAGCGACAGGGTGCTGTTGGCGACATTGGTGAAGCCAGGAATGGTGATTGAGGAGGACAGCGAGGTAGGAAGAAGCGCCGAATACAAGCGATCACCAATAAAGGTGTCCCAGATTTCAAGGGCGATATCCATGGTGCAAGTTGTTCTCTAACCACGGCAAGTCGTCTAGGGGTAGAAAAATCTAGGGAAGCGGAGAGAAAGACCATAGGATGACAACCCGGTCGAGTCGACTTTGGATTGACCAGTTGACCAGGCACGAGAACAAGGGAAATGAGGAAAATAAAGAATTGGGATGCGAAGAGAAAAGTTGAGGAAATGAAGGGATTGGTTTTAGTAATGAGTCTATCAAACCAGGCGGAATTTTCAGAGCCGTTCCGTTGCGGCAATAATTTGCTGACTCCTTTTCCATCTAGAATGTTACTACAGTATACAATTGAGGGCTCTAGAAAAAAAAGTCAAATGAAGGATCATTATCATATGGCCATTCACTACTGTGTACAGAGTACATACAAGTACTTGACATGAACGATAGAGTACTCTATACCGGTACTCCGTATACGGATCCTTCACTACTGTCAGGTACCGTCTTCATGGCCTTATCTGATTGGAGTTTGAGTTTGGGGCGATTGAAGTCATGTGATATCAACATGTTCCCTGCAACTACGGAGTATTATTGTGCATTATTGGGAATACACAATATACAATGAGGGAGCTGGTAAGGATGTATGATGGTTCAGAGAACAACACAGCATCAGCCCGTGTCATGGAGCTGGCTTGATAATTGACTTTGTGCTTCGGATTGTACTCCATACCATGCTAAAAACCAACCCCAGAAGGTCTATGCTTTTGAGTTCTGTAACTACTTGGTGCACCTGCACCATGAAATTGATGTAGTCATGTTCCGAATATCCACCATGCAGTCTCATCGACTGAAGCACAGAATTCTGAATGGAAAGGTGAGGTTGCACCGGTGATTTACCAGCTGGCTGGGTCGTGACCAAGATCATCGATTGGCACGGGTTAGGGGTGTAAAAATACGCTTGAAAGAGGGCAAGCCATAAATGAATTATATACTACATAGTGTATGGACTTGTAGATGTATCTACATATTACTCTAATGAGTACGGAAGTCATGTGATGTATTAGTCCCAGAAAGGAAAGAAAAGACTAGTTTAGCTATGACCCACTGGCCCGAAGCTGCCGCCGCCGCAATTTTCGTCTAACCGCCTTCGCTTCTCGCGCCAACGCCGAGCCGCAGACGCCCGAGCCCAGCCCTGATCTCCGACCTGCTTTGAACTGTCTGTCACCTTTTCCCCCTCCCTCTCTCACCTTTGCTTTTCTTCCTATCCACCGCCGCCTGTTCTATCGCCTCGTCTCTTGACCTTGTCACAGCGGGTTCTTATCCCTGCGCGCTGTGTTCGGTGGCAGCACTGACTTCCCAACAGTCTCGTGTGTCGCTACTCCTACCTACCTCCCTCCACTGTCGACCCACTTCATCGTCGCCGTTGTCGCAAGCCATTGCCGTTTCCATTCGGTCCGTTTCGCTATCGTGGTTTCTCTGCCACGACTCTTCTTGATAAAGCGGTCGAAGCCAGCCACCGACACGCGCGATGTACAACGCTCATCGCGGGATGGTTCCCGCTCCCAACTCCCGTTTGTCGGAGTTGCTGGACCAGCTACGCCAGGAGTTTGAGAACCAGTCCAGGAGCACGGGGGAATTCGAGCATCAATGTGTGTATAAGTTTCTTTTTTCTTTTGGTTCTACATCCTTGTTTGGTGTTGTCCCTTTTGCCCACCTCGTGTTGCGACTGTTCGTGCGTCGATGACGCGGTCGTACTTCAATATTTTCGTGACATTTCCCCTCTTTCATGCCTCAAGGCGCTCATAGAATTACATGTCGAGTTCCCTGGTTAACTGACTAGACGCAACAGTAACCGGCCAGCTACAGGAGATGGAAATGATTCGCCAGAAGGTCTTTGCTTTGGAAGCAGCGCAGGTTAAGATGAAGCAAGAGTTCGTAATACCTCCAGAAACGATTTTTTAGAGATTGAAAGGTTGCGCGAATTATTTCTAACGGTCGGACTTTTCTGTTCAGCTACGAGGCGGAGATTCGAATGCTGCGACATGAGCTGGAATCACGCGGTGTCCAGACCGTTTCAACCCATATCGCCGGCCCGGCACAGCATGCTGGGCCTTCTCAGGCGCCACCCCCGGCATTGGGTCATGGTCCCAGTAATCTTTTTGGTGGAATCATGGCCAATCAAGGAGGTAGTGCTCCCGATCCTGCCCAATCTCTAGATCAGAAGCCTCCCCAGCAACATACTGTTCAGCAGCCAGCTTCCGTGGCTCAACCAGGAGCACTGCCAGAGCCGCAGATCTCTGGGAAACACCAGCCAGGTGCTGCTGTGAATGGTATGTAATCGTTTTTTCGCCATAGTTCCTTGATGGCTGACACAGATCATTGTAATTCTTCCAACTCGTACAGGTTATCCTCCTCCACCCCCTACAGCTTCTCCTGGCCCCAAGAGGCCGCGTGCTCCCCCCGGTCCAGCTACCCCGCAGCAGACTCACCAGATGGCTTATCCTGACCCTCGCGCGTCACCTCAGATTGCTCGCCCCACCCCTCCTGGTCAGGCATTGATTAGAGAGCGACCAGGCAACATGTTGGCAAACTGGAACCCTGATGATCTCCCAGCTTCGCAAAAGCGTGAGGGTGCTGACTGGTATGCGATTTTCAACCCCGAGGTGCAGCGCGTGTTGGATGTGGAATTGGTGCATCACCTTGTGCACGACAGTGTCGTCTGCTGTGTTCGCTTCAGCCGTGACGGCAAGTACTTGGCTACTGGCTGCAACCGATCTGCGCAAATCTTCGATGTGACCACCGGGCAGAATGTTGCTATTCTGCAGGATGAGAGCGTCGACAAGGATGGAGATCTTTACATCCGCAGCGTCTGTTTCAGTCCTGACGGCAAATATCTGGCTACCGGAGCTGAGGACAAGCAAATTCGGGTATGTTCCCCATTTCCCAGTCTTGATTCTATTGTCATGAGTTGATAGATACTAATTCTGTCGCGTTAAAAAGGTTTGGGACATCGCGGCCCGGACGATCAAGCATGTTTTCGGTGGACACGAGCAAGACATCTACTCTCTCGACTTCGCTGGCAACGGACGATACATCGCATCTGGCAGTGGTGATAAGACGGTGCGTCTTTGGGATATCCTTGATGGCAAGTTGGTGTACACCCTCAGCATTGAGGATGGTGTGACCACTGTTGCCATGTCTCCAGATGGCCATTATGTGGCTGCGGGATCGTTGGACAAAAGTGTTCGTGTCTGGGATACCACGACCGGCTACCTGGTCGAGCGCCTGGAGACCCCTGATGGCCATCGGGACAGTGTGTACTCGGTTGCTTTTGCGCCGAACGGCCGCGACCTTGTTAGCGGTAGTCTTGACAAGACTATCAAATTGTGGGAGCTCAATGTTCCCCGAGGATACAACAGCGGCAGTGTCAAGCCCGGCAAGTGCGTGAGAACTTTCGAGGGCCACAAGGTAAGCCTATATTTTCCTCTGATGCTTTGGTTCGATGTTAACAGGCATGGTAGGACTTTGTGCTTAGCGTTTGCCTTACGCCTGATGGACACTGGGTAATGAGTGGTTCGAAGGACCGTGGTGTTCAATTCTGGGACCCGGTTACTGGTAATGCCCAGATGATGCTTCAGGGCCACAAGAACTCTGGTGAGTTGCATTCAAGTTCTCTCAGAGGAACGCTCTAACCTATGGCATGTAGTTATTTCGGTTGCGCCCAGTCCGACTGGCAACTTGTTCGCTACTGGAAGTGGTGACATGCGGGCACGGATCTGGAGGTGAGTTCTCTTTCAATATTTTTCATTGGGGAATTATGGTTAACAATAGTTTAGATACGCGACGTACACTGGACGGTGATGGAAATTTGACGATCGGAAGCTTCGGCGCAAGTGTGACTCTTGGTGTAATCCTGTTTGTTCGGTCTGCGTTATGTTTATGCTCTGTTTTTTTTTTTTCATTTTCTCTAATCATTTTTCTGGGTCTGTAGTAGCTGGTTCAATCTTGGCTTGGGTTTCTGCGTTCGATTGTCAAAGGCCTTTTACTGTTTAAGAAATGCTACTTAGTGATCTCCCAATGAAAACAGATTTGAGACTAAAGCCAAGAGTATGGAGTACTAGTTCTACTAGAGGAACTACTGATATTTTTGGAATCGGGGCGCGGTTAAGGCGTCTCGTGAAGATACTGCACATGGTCACTAGTAGTAAGTGTACCGTTCTCCTGAGACCCTGTCCGTTGCTTTTTTCTTTTCTTTTCTTTTTTTTATCTCCCAAAGGCTAGATCGAGGCTATCAGAAGCGAAAAGGGAAAGAATCAGGGGCAGAAACCAAGAAAAAGGTGTTGAATCTAGTTCCCGAAAGTTCTAATTTATGAGATACCTCAATCTGTCAACCTTAACTTTGTTCAGCATCATGTTCTACGGAGTACTCCGGATACTCTACTAGTACCATGGGCTTGTGATTATTTCCGTCTCGTCGCCAAGGAAAGAGTATCAGTCTCGATCACCATGATAATGGAGATCACAATAAATGACAAATGTGAATTATGCACAGTAGATACATATCCACTGACTACGGAATACCAGTACAAAAATAATCCCGATAAATTTGATTTGAAATGGCAATTCGATCCCAAACGTGTGACTTGCGGGAATATCTTGCATTATGCATTTTTCTTCATCTCACATGATACTTCAGTCGCCGTAAGCAAACAGGGATCACGTACTTTACTTCATCTCACACCACACATTCAATCAATCTCAGCCTCAGCCTCAGCCTCGCTGCGTTGTCTACCTTCCCTCGATCAACTCGACCGAAGTACGAGTCCAGTATCCAGTACGGTACGGAGACGCAGCAGAGCATGGGGCGCGGAGCAATGCAAAGGCACGCATTGCAGGGTCGTATTCACCTTTTACCCGATCTGGTATGGATGCTCTCTTAGCTTAGCTTGGCTTGGCTTACAGGTAGTTTGTATTACACTTAGCACAGTAGAACTATTTTCCAGGGTCCGCGTGCCGTAAACCGGAATCGGGGATGCGATGATTGGGTAGTTGGGGATGATGCGGTCAGCTATGACCAGTTTTTCGGTATTATTTGTTTTTCGGTAATGCATGGGTGTATATACAGGGTACTATAACAGGACGATTGAGTCATGGGAAATGTACTTTTGCATCTCATAGAGAACAAGGTAGGGTTGCGCCGAATTACTGGAGATAGTATACGGAGTACTCCGTACTACTTAGTGTCTCTTTGAGATGAGAAACTTGAAAACAGACATTCTGTGTTCCTCGTTAGGTATGAACTGATATAGCCAAAGCTATAGAGAAACAAGTAGAAACAGAGACTTAATTAGGAAAAGTAGTCAAACAATCCAAAATCAACCAAAACGCTGCATCCCCCAAAAAAAATACGCACGATAAACTCGCGTGGAATAAAACGATTTGTAGGCAGAGATATTAAATGGAAGATATTCCATGCCAGTTTGCTTTTTGGCATCACGGCCGTCGCGTCCCCGGCTGCGAATGCAACAGCTACAAGCACTGGTGCAATGGCCTCGATCCCACTTGTGGAGTGTGATAGTAGTAATTGATGCTGTTGCTGCAGTTGTTTCTGCTCGGAACTTTTCACAACGTCCACAATCTCGTCCAGCACAATCCTGGCGTAGCCATGCGCAGAAATACCAGTTTGGATCTTCTCTGTATGTCCTAAAGCCCCTTTCAACACAACCAGAGGGCAGATCTGCCTCCAATTTCTGGCACCGTCGAGAAAGATCCCATAACTGATCTTCCAATCGTCGAAGTTCTTCATCATATTTGCCGTGGGACTTTTTCATGGCCACATCGTCTTTTTCGGAGTCGGAAAGTGCCTGTGCTTTATGCAGAGCTCTGAATTCCTCTTGGATATATACCTTTCGCTGGACAACCCAGCACCCTTAAATGTCCGTTACAATGGTTTTATGGGACATCTCAATATGCGTTCTCTCTGGTCAATAGATAAACACCAGAATAAGCGCTAACATACAATTTGTGCAAGCTGAGCGTGGCCAGTATCTTCCAGCTTGGACTCGACCCATCGCATGCCAACCTTTTGTTCTGTTACTGATATCGGCAATGCAATAAGGAGATTGGCCTTGTCTTTGGATGGCCGGTCTGAGAGGAGGATTTCCATGAGCCCTCGGGGGTTTTTAGTTTTATCTATGTGCTTGTACCGATCCTCTATCGAGTCTTTGGCGAATGAAGACCTGAGCATCAGCATAGTGCTTTGGAGATTTATATGTCTAGGAAAGAAAATTGTAGCTTGTAAGTCGCTATTAACTTGTATATTAAAGGATCACTTTGACGTTATAAGTATAGTTCTATTGATAAAGTAGAGTACGTTACTCGATTCTTGACTTAGTATAGGAATTCCACATGTCATGAAGTTCTGCACCGGTTGATTGGTCACTTGATTAACATATACCATTATTCAGTGCTCTTTATTAATTTCCAGCAACCTTTGCTGCTAAACACCCCTGTTTCGTCTTTTATTGTAACACTCATCGCACGGTTTAATCCTTTGTAGTCACCAGTGAACTGGCAGTGCTTATATATGCCTATTCCTCAGGCACAGTTCTACCGCAGAAGCAGCTAATAGAATGAGTCACCAATACATGATAGTATGGTGGGTGTTCTACGATGCCTGTGAATCTGAGCTGCTCAAATCATAAGACATCTTCTCTTCGAGAAGATATGTATTGTACCTTCTAACCTCTTCAACACACCCACTGGTTGATATATTCGTCACGTGGGTTGCATTTGTTATGTGACCCCTGGCCAAGAAATGTTCTCAATTATTGAAGACTTCTTCAGCACTGAGGGTTCTGCTGATGGCCATGGTGTTCTCCATCAGCGATGAAAAAGATATCCCGGCTTACAACGAGAACATCACAAACAGACTTGTTACTTATGACTGGCATTGAAGATCCCTAGACTTCATACATGCTTTGAATGATACGCTTAATGGAAAACCCATGAGCTTGGGTCTCAAAATAAGCATTCGATTTATCTAGCGATTTCTGCCGCCATTACATGCGAAAAGTATTCTGTACAACGCAGGTACAGTTTGTTTGATCGCTCGTGATGTTGGTCGGTCAGATTCCTGTCCAATACGCTCACATTAGTATCCAATGATGCGTTCTTTTTAGATACTGTTCAGTCTCAGACTTCGGCCATTTTGGCCAATTGAACCACGCTGTCACCTGAGTTAGCATATAATACTCTGTAGGGCTCTGAGTATCTCTACACTCTGCGTTCCAGTCTGCCTCTATACATTGTGCTAGTGTCTCATTGCCATAATATGCAACGGAGCCTCGCAGTACTGTATATGAGCAACAAGAAATTTGTAAGTAACCATCTGGTCTATACTCAAGTTGCTGCCACAAAATACTGGCTCTGAATGATTCGTTTGCTGGTGTACGTTATGAGAGGAGTCAATACAACAACCTGTTGCGGCCATTGTGCCGATTGCTTTCTAGGTTGGCGGATATTCCCTTGATGGCCTTGTCCAGCAGCTGGGACATGGTTGTACTGACTGCAATATGAAAACCGTGGACTGAATATAGTATGCAGTGGATAAAAAAAGACTGGGTTTTTCCCTTCTATACAAGAAAAGCTCCTACTCGCTATGAGGTCGCACTTGATACGGTGATCGAGATGTTGTGGAGTAGGTAGTTGGGGGTGGGCTCCACGTCCCTGCGCAGTGCTGAAACCATGGATTCACCAGTGAATGAAGAACACAATTGCAATTCACTCTAACTGTAAAAACTGCATGTTCTGCCCTGAAGATCACGAGGCAGCAGATTGCCCACATCCAAGCAGTTACGTACCTGTGCAGGAAGCGTATTCCGTTAAAGTAAAACGGAGCGATTTTTTCTTTTTCCTCATTAGCCGCCGAATTTCCAAGGCGATGGGCGGCTAACGGGATAAATTCGCAGATCGGTCCATGTGACCCCCACAGATTGAGCAGTACATATTACATACTCTGTCTAGAGTACGGTACAAAGTAGTGATGAGATCGGTTGTGCTCGGATTTCAGATTTAATTTATATAATAGTATACCAGTAGAATGTGCGATCATATATCAAAGAACAAGTACGGTACGATCGACCTCAACCAGTCGATCGGAGAATGCAATCCGCAAGACAAACTATGGTCAATACCCTGTCAGTGTCAGCCCAACAAGGTCCGGCCCGCGCAGAAAAAGAAATGAAAAGGGGCAGTATTTGTACAGAGTACATTATTATTATTATTATTATTATTATTATTGCTACGGAATACATTGAAAGAAAAAGCGATGTGATCCATCATTTTGTTCCGTCAGCTCCGTCCGTTTTTTTTTTTTTTTTTTTTTTACCCTATCAGGCACAATAAACCATAGCAGCCATACGCTATTGTTTTTTTTTTTTTTTTTTTTTCTTTCTGGGCTATCGACCGATCTCCCGCACACGAGTAGGCACGGATAACGACAGTTGACAGGACAAATGATTGTCTAGCGGTCAAGAAAAAGTATACATGTAGAATGGGATGGTTGCACAACGATCTTTGTTTGAGCCTCGTTTGTACAGGATAATACAAGTACATCCTCCGTACTCTTGGCGTACAAGTACTCTGTACATACACAGCAGAATTGATCTACAGAGGCTGGATATCGCCATGCGTATTCCGTATCCAGTGAGACCAATAATCTACTCTCGGATTAGTTAGGAGCAATTCATCGCCACGGAATCGAAACGAATCAGGAGAATACCACTACCTACAAAAGATCTATCGGAAGACTCCATCTCTCACCGAAGGCCTTTTCGCCAGTCGCGGCTATCCATATGTACGGTAATTAATTATTCTTACTGGTGGATCCTGGAAATACGCACACAGACTATTGATCGCCCGCGGCGGTCCGTCGAGTAGTTTGTCCCGGCCAAACCCTGTCCGATGCTTGCTGACTGATGAACCATTTAGAGAAGAGGAAATAACATGATGCGGAATGATCGTCTTATAACAGGGAATAAATTGTTAGGAGATGATGAAATCCGAATTGATACTTCAGATGGATGAACCCGCTCCAAGTAAGGACCCCCCGTATGGAGTTCTTGTACAAGTACTTCCGGGTATGGAAGATGATAAAATTATCCTCTCGCAACTAGATATAATTGGTCTATGCCGAAGGCTACCGGACCCGGACTCCTCTCCGTACTCCGTAGTACTCCATACTGGCTATTCACCATTGACCTGTTCTGATCGACTGAATAAGCTAAGGGTCACCACCCAAGTACTCCAAGTACGCACTCTGTTGAACAAACTGTCGATCTGATTGGAAGCGCCCACGCCACGAGATAGACCAATCAGCCCCTGCAGTGCCTGCGTGGATGGCCGGGGGATGTAAGATCAGAACCATTTAGAGAGAGGACGCGCGGTAGCTTCGGCTGGAGTCAGATGACTTGACTAACTGACAGTCTATACAGAGTACCAGAGTACTCTCCTATTCCATTCATAATTAGCATATTTGTATCTTATACAAAGTATCTGTACGGAGTACTGCAAACAAATGCATTACTGACAACGAACTATCGAATCCCGTCACTTCGGTGCGTGATTGTCAGCCCGATCGGAATTACCGCTCAGTTTCCGCGATTGGCCGGTCTCAAACTACTGTATTTGTATTCTGGTATGAGTGTATCTGTAAGACTCGGCTCCACTTAGCGTGGGCTGGATATTATAACACTGTATGTAACTATGTATGTACGGGTAAATACGATCAAACATTAAGCTCTCCTTTTTTATTTTTATTTTTATTTTAATGATGATGATTTTGTTTGTCTGATGCTTTGCAGATCGTCTCGTCACTGAATTTTCTCATTGGACACTCCCATTTCAGCTCAACTACGAGTCCAAACTGGCCCGATCCCTGTCAATTCAGTCCACCCCCGCTGCTTCCACTGTCCTGGGTCCAAAACAAGTTGGAATTTAAAATAAAAAAAGAGTAGAGGCAAGAAAAAAAAAAGGGTGCCGAAGTGGGTTGGCTGTAAGAGCCGGAATGTATATCAACTTCGGGATCGCCTCGTCGGTGCATAATCCAGACTCTACTGTTCTGTACTTACTGCTCTATACCTACACCACACAGACCAGACCCTAATATTGCCAATCTGATCTCCCTTCTTACTTCTCTCTCGTATAGATCTCTAGATCTATAAAGACTCGGACCCAAACGCAGGCACAGGCGCATTCGCGGGGATTTTCTTTCTTTTTCTACATTATTTAACCTTTTCTTTGCTTTTTGACTGTTCTATACCAGACTTCCTTTTTCATCTTTGTTTTCATTGCTTATTTCCTCTGCCACTCATCCACCCGCATTGATCTGTCTGTTCCAGAGGCGAAATCGCGACTGAACTGTACTCTTCTGGACAATTGTCTGCCTTAGGGTTGCTGATTCTGCATCCTCAACCCTTAAGAGACAGCATCAGGAACAGAGCTCGAAAGCAACGAGAAGGAGGCACAAGACTGTCGAGATGGAAACTGCAGAGCCCGTGTCTTACGAATTTCCCGGGCATCCAGTGGGCGCCATGGCTTCTCGTCGCATTCTCAACCCCCACATGAGTTCTAACTACTTCTATCCTACGGCCACCTCGTTTCCTCTGTCATTCCACTCGTCTTCTACTGCTCCGTACAGCTTTGGTCATTCTCAACATCCTCAACACCACCCGCCTCCTCTCAGCAACCCTCATCAGCATCACCATGCTCAGCAGCAACAACAGCAGCCACAGCCACAGCAACCAACGCTGCCACCAGCACCATCTCAACCCCATACCAGCTCGTACCAACCGCACTTCTTCGTCCCGGCTCCTCAACAACCACCGCTTCATCCGCAGCCCGTTCGACTGTCGTCAGAATCACCGCCGTTCCAGGGAGTTCCCGACATCCGACCAGCCAAAAATGCCATCAATCAAGTGGGCAAAGACTCATTGGCAAAGGCCATTTCTGCGTCTCAACAAACCACTAACGGAGCAGCATCACAGGACAAGTCTGCCAGCGAGATTGATTTCTCTACGAATGTCGATGTCCTTATGAAGGCCATCCAGTCCCGGGCTAGTTCTGAGCCAACAACAACTCAGCAGTCTTTGCCTCCGTTGCAGCATTTGACTCACGGGAATGCCGGTGTTTTCTCCCCCCCGAGTTATCCTATGCCTGTGGCGTCATCTATGACTCCTCGTGGGGGCTTGATGGTTGACGAGCCGATGTCCCGGTCTGGGAAGAAACGAAAGTACACCTGTACGCTTCCGCACTGTGGGAAGAGTTTCGCCCAAAAAACTCATTTGGACATCCATATGAGAGCGCACACTGGAGACAAGCCTTTTGTGAGTATTTATCCTCTGGACTAAGTAAAGGAGTGTTGGCTAACAGTACCTTCAGTTCTGCAAGGAACCCGGCTGTGGACAACGATTCTCGCAACTAGGCAATCTGAGGGTATGTTATTACCAGATATTTCCCTTTACGTTGAACTATTATCTAACCTAATCCCAGACTCATCAACGCCGTCACACCGGAGAAAAGCCCTTCTCGTGTGAGGTCTGCCACAAACGCTTCGCCCAACGAGGAAACGTCCGCGCACACCAGATCACCCACAGGGAAGAAAAGCCCTTCAGATGTCTCTTGGACAACTGTGGAAAGCAGTTTACCCAGCTTGGTAACCTCAAGGTTAGTCCTTTCTTTTCTTGGTGCCTAATATTGGACATGTCAGATTCTAACCATCAATATATCCAACAGTCCCACCAAAACAAGTTTCACGCTTCCACCCTTCAGACCCTGACCGCCAAATTCGCAACCACAGTCGATGGAGATTTTATGAACCCGCAGGACCGAGAATTATGGGGCTACTTTGCCGCGCTATACAAGAACAGTAACAAGGGGATCAAGGGCCGGGGCAAGGATCGCAAGATCTCGCCTTCTTCCAAGTCTTCTTCATCCGTGTCCTCGGGAAGACGATCCCAGGCCAATGACCATCACCAGATGCGTCGGGAGAGCTATGGGTACGCCTCTTCGACGTACACAGGGAGCAGTGACGAGGATGACATGGCGCATTACTATTTGGCTAGGAGGGAGCATTAGTGCCCTTCTTACTTTCTTCTTTTCTTCTTTTCTTCTTTTCTTCTTTCTTCTTTCTTCTTTCTTCTTTCTTCTTCCTTTTTCTTCTTCCTTTTTCTTCTTCATTTTTCTTCTTCACTTTTTCTTCTTCATTTTTTCTTCTCCTCTCCACTCACCTTTTTCTTTTTCCTTTCCCCTTTTCAAATACCCATATACCAATCACTTTTGTCTTGAATTACCTGTTATACTGTTTCGGTGATGTTATCATTGATGTTTCGGATGTTACGCTCATATGATACCAATCCTGTATGCTCATTTGTGTTTGTTTTTTGCCACCTTGATTTTTCAAGCCCAGAGTCAGCTTTCGGAGTTGATATATCCAATGGTCTCGTTTTGCTTCGTTTCATTTCGTTTAAATGCTAGAAATAGAAGTTTCAAAAGAGGGATAGCAGACATATCATTTGATCTTGTCATGCTATATTGCAGTATATACTAACACTGGAGTTATTTCCTGTTGCATTGGCGTCAGACTAGCTAGTCAGGTATTTTTATTTGCATGAAATTGCCAGTCAAATTGTGGTCTTTTACTTGAAAATCATGTACTTCCTAGGTCGAACAAGATCCACAGATCGTGATCGGGTGCGAGTTTAAGATGCATATATGCAGGATGATTTTCACGAGATAAAGTTTGGATTTTGCTTTTAATGGCCCCATATAATCCATGTCGGTTGACATGTAATCTAATACCAATGTAAATTATGTGACACACATTGTATATACCAATTGGTCATAACGAATGTCTTGCGTAGATTGGGGACAAAAGACCAACATGACGGTATCGCCAGTTGTACAGAAAGTATCTACTATTTCTTCTGTGGTCATACACATGCCATTGTGAGACTTGCATGCCATATCAAGATCCAGAGAATCCAGTTCTTTTTCCAAACACAAGCCTGAGAGGGCCTAAGAGAAGTATCGTACACACATGCACGCATATCAAAACACCAACCGGGGCAAATACACCTTAGTATTCTCATACACCAAAAACGTCACCCATGTGCTGGGCAATACCCGAAACAGATTCGGCCCCAGACCCTTGTAGAATCCTGCCAGACCTTCCCGCGCCCAGATCTGTGCAATCGCATCACACGCACCTCGATACACGAGATGGGCATCGTAGGTCTGTAAACGAGACCGCAGGACCTGGTACGGGTATGTCACGCCTCCGGCGAACGTCTTGGAGAGACCGGAGATAACGAAAAAGTCGATGTTTCCGAGTGTGCGCTTTTGGTCTGGGTTTTTGGCGGTGCCATTGTCAGAAAAGAAAGTCGTTGTTATTGTTGTCATCTTTGAGCGGTAGATTTTCAACTGCTCATAGGCCATGAATTGTAGAGCCCCATGGCTGACACCGAAAAGTGCGGGGAATAGCCCCCGGTAGAAACCGGCGACGCCCTCGGTTTGGAGAATCTGCTTCACGCCAGTCGCAACGGACGAGTATGCGCCAGGTGCTCGTGAGCCCGTGGATAGCATGCGGGTTTTGATTACCCAGATTGGATTTGTCAGGATAGCCGTGAGCAGACCTAATTATTTGTAGGGGTTAGTATGCTGGACTTTCTTCTCGCAATCGCATATCCATACCTGCCGTTCCCGACGCCGCAAAGTAGTCGGACGAAGTGAGATCCTGCCCATCATGTGCGTGAAACGTCCGCGCAACTTCTTTGGCCTTCCCATAGCACAGGAAATAGAGTCCCCAGCTGGTAGAGTTCCCTATGATGTTAGGACTCAATCCCCGATAGAACGCAGCGACGCCACCCTCATGGAGAGAGATTTCATGGATGACTCGGAGCGAACCACCAATTCGAGAAGACGAGGACCGATCGACTGTAAATTGGGAGAGAAATGTTAGCTTAATTCCTCCCCGCATATGGGCCAGTGCTTACCCTGTAGTCGGGTCTTGACCAAATCCAATGGATGCAGACAAAGTGTGGACACTATTCCTGCTGTGAATCCCGCTACAGTCTCCACAAAGGATGGCGATAGACCATCTTGACCGGTCATGGACCTTTCGAGTCCAGTGCGGGTTGATCTTGTTCTAGTAGGGTTTGTGGTGTGTGAATTTAGAGACGTTGAAATTATAAATGAAAATGATTTGTTGGTCCGGGCGATTTGGTTTAGCGGGCCGAAATATCTACTCCGAAGCCGAGGTCATGCTTGAACAATGCATACAGGATTTACTCTATAGGTATATTCAAATTTATACTGGAGTATAAATCGAATAGCTTGGCATCTATAATTACTATTCTGACTGGGTTATTGTACCTAATATGTGAGAACTCTCGCAAAGCGCAGTCACTTGAAACGCTGCCCCATGTCCAGAATGAATATAAGTATCATGAAAATGTCTTCATTAACCAGTGCAAAACATGCCAGAACCAGAATATTGCATAAAAATACACATGTGCCAATGTAATTCCCAGACATTGGCACTATAAAGCCATCAAGACAACCGAGTTCCCAGCGGTCTCCGCATGGTCACGACATGATATTCCGAATGTTCCGTAGAAAGTAGAGAGGAGAAGAGGTGTCTCAAAAACCATTTATTCATACACGGGTTTCATAACGTCCATGGTCCCGAAACTGATCTAAGCAAGCGGCGAGAACAACCTACCGCGGGGTTAGTCGGTTTGAACGTCGCTCGATCGAGAAGACAGGGGTAGTACTTGAAAAGAGTTGGTCTCGGTTCACTGTAGGTGTAGCCTTATTCATTTAGTCAGTACCGCCCCGGCTTCCTATACATGCATGAATTGAAAGACATACCAAGGTAGACAATCAGAGGAAGATAACCGCTGCGCAATATACCATCAGTACTGTAGATTCTCAAATCCCGGATTTCTTCTAAGGTATAGCTCACTAGTGGATAGCAACCCGCGAGACATCGATGACCTTGGAGATGCGCTCCTGGGAGGGAAGTTAGCAATCTGGGCGAATCGAATCGGCGAAGCACGTTGGTCTAACCTTGGTCTCTTCGGAGAATTGGAACATCTTGGAAGAAAATCTGACGTGAAATAACCTTGGGAAACCGATATCGAAGGAAAAGAAAACGTCGCGAGGAAAGGCAAGAGTGTGCAGAAGGATGGCGGAGCGGAGGAATACTTTCCTGTCAAGCTTCAAAAGTTTTCCGCCAGGCAAAAAGCGGCCGCCGATGAAGGCTGTTCCTCTTCATGCGATCACCCCAAGCTTTGTATTTCTCTAATTCTATCGACTTCTACACACCTTTGCGCATCTGGTTCTTTTTTATTCATTAATAATTCAATTACTGAATTCAACTACGTCTTCTATTCGCGACACAATTGCCCAAATATTTGACCCTTTTTACTGAATCATCGGCGTCATGTCTGGCGCAAGACATTGGTATGGCCCTTCCTAAATGTGCAGGCACACATGAAGCGCTGACAACATTGTAGGGAGCAAGATAAGGAAGCAACCGTTTACATCGGTAACCTTGATGAACGAATCTCGGATAGCCTAGTATGGGAGTTGATGCTGCAGGCCGGGCGCATCGTGAACGTCCACCTACCCAAAGACCGAGTCACCCAGTCGCATCAAGGGTATGGATTTGTGGAATTTATCAGTGAGGAGGATGCGGAATACGCGTCGCGAATAATGAACGGTATTCGTCTATACGGAAAACCCATACGCGTGAACAAGGCCTCCGCCGATAAGCAAAAGGCCGTGGAAATCGGGGCAGAGCTCTTCGTTGGAAACCTCGATCCCATGGTTACAGAGCAGGTTCTCTATGATACATTTGGCCGTTTTGGAAGTTTGACCAGTCTGCCAAAGGTACGTTGCTATCCAGCACCAGTTCTTGTTTTCTTAGAGCAGTCGCTAATAGTTGCTAGATTGCACGGGATGACAACAATCTGTCTAAGGGCTATGGGTTCGTCTCGTTTGGCGACTTTGAGTCTTCGGATGCAGCGATTACGAACATGAACGGGCAATATCTCATGAACAAGCAAGTCTCCGTACAGTACGCGTATAAGAAGGATGGAAAGGGCGAGAGACACGGTGATGAAGCCGAGCGAACGTTGGCTGCACAGGCTCGCAAGCACAATGTTCGCCCGACAGCTCAACAAATACCGCCCCCATTTCTAGCCTCGACACCGCCCGTCATGCCAACAGGAATGGTAAATGGCGATGCATCGCGGCCGATGAGCACAGCACCCCCTGTGGCACCTGCAAACGCTGGTTTCCAAAATATTCCTCCTCCCCAGCCGAATCGACCCGTACCTTCTGCGACCTCTCTGGCGACGCCGCCTCCAGGATTGCCTGCGCGACCTCCACCTTCCCAGGCTGGTTATGGAGGGCCACCACAAGGGTTTGTACCTCCAGGTTTTGCGGGTCCTAACCAACAACCACATTTTCCACCGCAAGCAGCACCGCCCCCAGGATTTGCGCCTCCGGGCTTCGGGCCTCCGGCAGGAACCCCCGGACCCCCGCCCCCGCTGCCACAGGGATTCCAGCAAGCTGGATTTGGCAGGGGACGGTGATCAGCATCTAGGATTGCGCCAGGAGATCACTCATATAGGTAGTATAATTTGGTATGACATGACGACCCGAAGGACCTAAGTTTATCGCTGCTGCATACACCAATACCTGAATCCATCACTTGTCCAGTGAACAACAGCTTTGTTACTTATAATTCACATATCGCAATGGGTCTTCCGTCTGGGAATATGAATAAGCTTATCCAAGTACCAAATACCCTTACGCGTAATGGACAATAATACTAGTTCGAATCAAATGACCTGAATTTTGGAATATTTCTTTCGACCTCAAAAGATACAGGAGAGCGAATGCATGTGATGGCATAGAGTAATGGTTGCCAAAAAGAAAAAAGAAAAGAAAAGAAAAACGAAAGGAAAGGAAACGGCAGATGCACAAGCTAAACGAATGAAAATCTACAGAGCAACTATAATTGCACCAAAGAGAGAATGGTTATGAAAATGAAACGAACTTCGGATCCCTGGGCCGGCCGTCAGGACCGATGTTGTGTTTGGCAAATCGCTGCTGGGTATATAACCGACGAGCTTCATCGAAGTCAACTTTCTGGCTTTTCATGATCCTCTTGACTTCGAGCTTTCCAGCCTCGTCCAGTCCCGCTCTCAGGTCGCCGTCTGCAACATTAGCTGTGATGTCGAACTGTGACGACGAGAGACCGGCTTCTAGATCACCGGTGAAGCTAGAGGGAAGGTGCTGATAGATGTAATCGGGGACTGGGAGTAGCGGTAGCCATCGAGACCGAGTGAGGTAAAGCGCTAAAATGACATGGTCTGATTAGCACTAGTTTAGAGAATCCGCATGCTTTAGAGAAGATCATACCTGTACCACAGATGATAACGCAGAAAGAAAGAAGATAAAGAAAATAAGCCATGGCGACCGGACTGGTTTGTATTCAAAGATTAAATCGAACAAACGACGATGGAATACCAGTTCCTCTTGTTCCTATTTCACCTTCCGATTAGAGCGGAAGTCGGCGGCGCAAAGTAGTAGTAGAGAGAGAAAGGAACGTTTGGGATGGTTATTTTCTGCTGGAGAACACGTTCTCAGAGACTGGAGTTGGGCAATGATAAATCGCTGAACTGGCAGGAGTCTGCCCCGGCCAGACGCATGAGGCGCATTCAGACTAGTGAAGTGGTACGTACTGATATGTCAATGAGAGGCTGCGCAAGACATGATATCAGGCTGCCTGCACAGCTGCCTTGTTAATAGCCTGATGTACAAGGCAACAATATCCGCCAGTCTATTCCCTAAACGGCCTGCTTAGCGAATTCTGCGGCCTCTCGAACCGCAACTCTTGGCGTTGGCACACAACAATTACGACCAATTCCGGTATATCAGATTTGCGACGACTTCGACCTGTTCACTCTCTATACCCCCCTACCAGCTCAAATTAAAGACCTTCACAATGGCCGCCGTCACCAACGTCTCCAACGACCTCGTCTGGTTGCTCACCCGTATGTCCCATCTCTACGCGAACCCCAACACCGGGCGAATTTTAGAAGTCCAAAAATACCAATTTGATCGCTTTCCACAAACGACAATCCACTGCACACGCTGCTTTTTTCGCCGCTTACATTTAAGTCATTGGGCGCTGGCTAATTCCGATTCACTTGCTTTGAATAGGCAACAGCAACTCCTTCCTTGTCAAGGGCCGTGGCGCTGATAGACCCCAGCTCTCCCGTGACCCTCTGAACTTGCAGAACCAGCACTCTTACAAGGTATGAAGGAGGAAATGTACAGGCGACCAGTCAGGAGGACTGTTAGTCTGGTCGCATTTGTCTGGATGATGGATGGCTGATCTTGGCTTTTCAATATAGTACGCTGGTTACGCCAACAGCAAGGTAATTCTTGAAATCCAACGGCTCACCTGCTATTTTTAAACATCATTTGGACGGAGTATTGATGATTTGGTTTCCAATTTTAAGGCCATTGGTGTTCAGGCTACCGAGAACGGTGGCGTTGCCGTCACCACCAAGAAGACCGGCGCCCCTCAGCAGCCCGCTAAGACCTTCGTTAACGTGAACTACGGCCCGAAGACTTCCACCCGCAAGTAAGCAGAGACCACCCATTTTTTTTATTGAGATTTGGACCACTGCTGGAACGAGTGAGGATCGCGACGTGTCAGACAGGGCTGACTGGAGATCAGGATCTACAAGGGTGTTGCCGACGCCACCGCTAAGAACGGCTACCGTGCTGACATCCGTGAGGACGCTGTTGCCCGTGTCAGCGCCATCCGCCGCACGCAGAAGTCTAAGAAGGAGACCCCCGCCAGGAAGCCCCGTGGTGCTCAGGCCAAGAAGGCCGCCGCTGAGAAGTCGGAGTAAATTTGGAGAACGAATGGTCTATCGAGTTGTCCCGAGGCGGAAGGGTCATAAAAAGGATGGACGTCTTTCGAAATAATCATGAAAGCGCCATGCTGGGCCAGGGCAAAAGCGTCCATGTAATTTAGCAGTAATGCTACCGAGTTCTTTCCCACCAGGATCGAACAAAAACAAGAGAAAAAATTAAAAAAAAAATAGCTCAGAAGAAAAACCACATGGATATGGATATCCGGAAGACGGCACTCTGAACAGGGAGAATCGTCATAAGCGCTATTATTTTGCCCTCAACTTACCTCGGGAAAATAATCAGCCTGGTTGACATACATACGTAGCTTACCGTCTCTTTATCGAATTTGCAGGCCGTTCGTCGGGCCGAAGGGAGATACTTCTAGTGGTTCCATAATCAGGACTGCCCGTTTCTTTGCCGTCGGTCTTGCGGTTCTCCCGCCTTTCCCCGACAGGGAGACTGGGTCAGTGATGGATGGATTCGGCTTTGATGGTCGGGATGACTTCAATTAGTCTCAAGGGCACGACAGCGCGAAAATTGCCGGGATTTCAGCGTGTTACAATTGGTTGTCCGTTGGAGGGCGGGATGTCCATAAGGGTACCTGTCATCGTCATGGTCTATTTAGTACTCCGTAGACTCCGTAGAGTGTTCGATAGCCGGAGAAGACAGAGAGCTTTCCCACCCTCTCCACATGTGATCTGCCCAGTCCGATTTCCTCCTCCCCCGTCTCAGTGATTTAGAATATAAATACCCTCCGGACCATCGCGTAATCATCATCTGTAGATTCTTTTGCCTAGAAATTGCTTCTTTTTAGACTGTCTCTGGTGAGTACTTGGCTACAAGTCACTGCCCGTTTGATTCACCGTGACGCTCTTTGCTTTCCCCGCGTGGTGGGATGAACCCCTCCTTCTCTCCGCCCGGCAGCTTTCCCTTCTTATAATCCTGCCCCAGCTGTCCTCCTTCCTTTTCACTACTGACTGACCACTTCTTCATATCCATCATCAAAGACAGATTTCCCAGATTAATTCCCCCGTTTGTCTAATAATCATCATCCATCATGGTTAAAGCTGGTTAGCATCAATTCCATCCCTCTATCCTAGAATAACAGCTTTCTTTACTGACTTCTCGTTCCTGACAGCCGTTCTTGGTGCCTCGGGTGGCATTGGCCAGGTTCGATCCCCTTGTCTTTACCTGTTCTGTCGAGAAACTAACCATCATTCCTCTTCCTATAGCCCTTGTCTCTCCTCCTCAAGGCATGCCCTCTCGTTGACGAGCTTGCTCTCTACGATGTTGTCAACACCCCCGGTGTCACTGCCGATCTCTCTCACATCTCCTCCGTCGCTGTATGTGATAATTTCTGGTGTTCTCCCGGTATCTGCTCAGCTTCGTCCGTACTAACATGCGTAACAGAAAATCTCCGGTTACTTGCCTAAGGATGACGGCTTGAAGAACGCTCTGACTGGCACTGATATTGTTGTCATCCCTGCTGGCATTCCCCGTTAGTCCCTCATTTTAATTGCTGGCTCGTTGTCTTTTGATTGACTTTCAATCTAGGCAAGCCTGGTATGACCCGTGATGACCTGTTCAAGGTCAACGCCAGCATTGTCCGCGACCTCGTCAAGGGAATTGCCGAATTCTCCCCCAAGGCCTTCGTCCTGATCATCTCCAACCCCGTCAACTCGACCGTCCCTATTGCCGCTGAGGTGCTCAAAGCCGCTGGCGTCTTTGACCCTAAACGCCTCTTCGGTGTGACCACCCTCGACGTTGTCCGTGCCGAGACCTTCGTCCAAGAATACTCTGGCCAGAAGGACCCCTCCAAGGCCCAGATCCCTGTTGTTGGTGGTCACTCTGGCGAGACTATTGTCCCCCTCTTCAGCAAGGCTTCCCCCTCCTTGAACATCCCCGCTGACAAGTATGACGCTCTTGTCAAACGTAAGTCCCAACATACAGTTTCTTCCTTTCCCCTTCAAACTGCTCGATTCCAGATCCATTGACATGGTTTACAGGTGTCCAGTTCGGTGGTGATGAGGTTGTCCAGGCCAAGGATGGCGCTGGTTCTGCTACCCTGTCTATGGCTTATGCTGGCTACAGGTTCGAATTCAATTTTTTCACCGGAAAACAGTGATCATCAGAACTGACTATCCCATTAGATTCGCCGAGGCTGTTATCAAGGCTCTCAGAGGTGAGGCCGGTATCGTCGAGCCGACTTTCGTTTACCTGCCCGGTATTGCTGGCGGTGACGAGATCGCCAAGGCAACTGGTGTCGAATTCTTCTCTACTCTTGTCACTCTCGGGGTAAGAAATTTCCACCCGCGTGTAGCAAAACATATAGACAAATCTAGCTAACACTGTGTACAGGCCAATGGTGCCGAAAAGGTCACCAACGTGCTCAACGGTGTCACTGACCAGGAGAAGAAGCTCCTCGAGGCTTGCACCAAGGGCCTCAAGGGCAACATCGAAAAGGGCATCGACTTCATCAAGAACCCTCCACCAAAGTAAATGCCCACCCCAGTTCATCCCCGCTCTACAGTCGGTATATCACTTTATCACCGCCGGACCCCATTCATCGGTATTCGTTCACACGCGGACGTGGAAAGAGCCTCACTAATCATTGATATCACGGAAAGATAGGCTTTAAACGCATGATATGTATTAGACGGTGAAATTAATGTGGCCGACGGTCATTCCAGTAACGCACGCTATGCAGAAATGAAATGAAATAGTTTTTATCTGTCCTTTGCCAACTCGTGTAAAAGTAGACAGCTTCATGATTGTGGAATCGTATGGGGTTCCCTGAGCACCTGGCCTGATATAGCTGTCCTGCAGCAGTGCAATGTAGGCCTTTATTGTAACTCCCGGGGATTGTTTGTAGGCGAGTTCCACCGTGCATCTGCTTTCACGGCTTGGACTGGATGGTCTTTATTTGAAATGTCGCCGCCGGCAGCTCCGAAGTCTCTGCTTGTACCGAAGTGCTGATTCCCATGTTTGCGAGAGCTCCTCGAATAACGCCGCATGGGAAGTACAAGTACTATACCAGTGCATTGTTAGCTTCCTGAATGGAAGTGAGGACTAAATGGACGGTCCTTACCGCTTGTGCCATAGCTACAGCCTCAGTCCGAGCAGCCATGCTCATTCTCGCAAATGGACGAAAAGATTGATCGGTTAGAACATAGACACCCTGCGTGAAAGCGCATTAGTTCACGAAATCACACACCGGAGACCCTTTATCACGCGGGCCCAGAAGTCTACGTTTGACGTACCCGATGGTTTGTCTTGAGATTATCGACTTGCTTCCGGAATAGAATTGTCCAGAGATCTTTGCATAGGAATTTAATTACGTCGAGGTTATCGGCAAAACGAGGACGGTCGCGGGAGAATCTACTCGTAGAATAATCCAAGATCCCGTATGTTAGCCAAGACATGTACACATAATGCATTCGGGCGCAAATAACCAAAATCCCCCCTCCCATGCGCAAGCAGCACAATACGGTCCAATCTCTGAGGAATTCACCCCCTTATTTATTCACACCTACCGTTCTGCAAGACCCTGTCCAACTCTATATCCAAGCGACTCAAGGCGAAAGAATGTCGTTTCTCTAACCTCTTCGTCATCCGGTTGTTTGCCATCGTTCGTGGAGAGCTCTTTCGCCAGCCTCTCCGCCATCGGTACCAGCTCTATCAGGAGTAGATCGAGACATGAAGCGCTGAGAAGGTGGGCTTGGGGGTCGGAGGGGCCGAAAGGGGAACTGGGGGCATCGAATGACATCGCGGCGGACGATGGTTATGCTGGTGTTGCTGGACGTGTCGGGGGGTAAGAAAGAATTGATTGAAGGGGAGGAGGGTTGTGGTGTCTTTTCACAGTCACGTATTCCGTGTTCCCTGGTTGGTAAAGTTTGTAATTTATTCAAGCTCTTGGGGGAGAAGGGTGGTTGATGAATGTCAACGGCCGTCGCCGTAGCTTCTCCGCGATCCGCGATCTGCCTTCGACGAAGTCCCGCCGATTACATACATTTGTCTGTATTATGTCAAGTTCAATTTATTCAAAAACTCTTTGGCGGAATTTAAATAGAAAAAAAAAAAAAGTTTGTTTAAAATGAGGAAGCATTAGTTCTAGTTACTGAGCTGCTGAATATTGCAGCAATTCAACTCAAATGCAAAATAGGTTGTAACGTAACCCTATTTCATATAATGCCATTGACCAAATAGAAGCAATGAATTACAAAGTGGATAAAGTAGAATATAAGAGCAGATGGCTTCACTCATTCCTTTATCTCCCATATTATCTTTGCCCAACAAAACCACAAGAGAACACCAGGTAAACCACATGCGATTATCAAGACCCGAAAATCCAGTACTCCGTGACACCGTTCCGAATATGCAAGCAATCATCGATCGTAGCCGCCACGATGACTTGGGGTATCTGAATAATTGGTCTGGCTCGAAAGGGGGAAGTCTTGTCCATTTGTATTGCCACTGCTAAAGGAAGGCAATGCTGGGAATGAGTGGCTGGGCGCATTTAGCGCAGGGCGTTTTGCCGGTCGCACAGGAAGATCTTCTTCATCGTCACTTGCAGTAAGATCAATAACTTGTGCCGCGGATCTCTTATTCGTTGAAGGACGGGCAGCGGAAGGTGCTGAGGACGGCTCTCTTGATTGAATTGGCGTTTGTTGTAAGGATAATGTTGTTGAAATAGGTTCCTGTTTGACAGGCGTGAATCCAGATTCGTTGATTTCTATTAAGTCGTCATCATCTGGTGTGGGATGGGGAGCACCATTGGCTCCCGTAGTGTCCTCGCTTTTGGGAGTAGCCCATGTTCCATCCGGCTCGATGACGACTTGTTCTACATCTGTAGACGTTGAATGGAGGATATCATCGACATACCTGCACTGTCAGTTATGTAACATCGAACTCATGGAAGATAACTTACTGGTCAACTTGCAGAGACTCAAAACTAGTAGATTTGGAACACACGGGACATGTCCAGGTCGGTGCTTGTTCTTGCAGTTGCAGAAACGAGGAAGCATCGAAGCACTGGTTATGCGTGCACACCACTGAACGACAAGGAACGTCAATCCGAAGCGTAGACAGAGGACATTTCAATGACATGACACTTGAAGTTGCAACAATCTCTGAATCATCCGCTCTACTCCTCACTGACAACCATTAGAAAAGAGATTGTGTGCGTAGGGGCTTTAGGTCATCCTTACTTTCTCGTACCACCTGTTCCCTCGAGATTGTTTTCCTCGCCTTCAACTCCGCCACCAAGTCATCAACAGGGTGCCGCTGGACAAGGTTGACGACAACAAAGAACTTCTACTCAGCCTGTCAGCAAAAAGAAAGAAAGTTTTTTATATGTACATTTTCATCATATTCTTTGGTTCATACCTTTTGCGTGAGAGCGTATGTCATCACAATATTGTTCTGGTAACCCGGCTTTCTGCGAATGTGACTTGTTATATCTGCTGGTCTGGTCGTGCCGGGCTTATTCTTGAGACCTCTCAGATTAGCTTTCACTTCGTCAAGATTTGCTTTCAGCTCGACTTGATGGGGAAAGGCAACATCGGACTTGGTATACTGGTTGAGACCAGTATCAGCAGCACAGTACACCATAACCCGACAATTCAAATCTGTCTGTAGCCTGGAGGCTACGGTAGGATTCAGGACGACTTTTAGTTCTATACTATCTCTCGTTTGTTCCCGTACTTTGTAATATTAGATCTGTGGTGCCACGATAACCTGCACAGCAATGGTAGGACTTACCTTTACACTCCACTGTTGAGGTAAGGGGTTCCAATATTGTGTAAAACGGACTGTCCTTGAAACTTAACCGACCTAGGATTGTATAAGCGATGGTCACCGACACAGGTTTGGGGGAGACAACTTGAAAATGTACCCGACGTAAATCCGAGTGACGGTATTGGTATACTCAAAGGAGATGATCTAGGTTGTGTCGAGATAGATTGCGAAACCACAGGCGGCTGGAATTGAGGGTATGACGGTGTCGAAGAGACGGCAGGCATTACGCGATTTGCTGTGGTATAAATAAATTTTCTCAGCGCATCGTAACGAGCTGTTTGGTCGGTTTCGGCGAGTCTCTCAATAACTTTTTTATGTTGGAAGGGAAATGGTTAGCATTTGCTTCATGTCCAAATATCGCAAAAAGACAAAGGGGGTTGCTGCTACAAACAGTCAATTATACGAAGCTGGAGCGATACTTTTACTCCAGAGACAGCAAGCGCTTCACTCCTCAAAATGTCTTTGAGCTGCGCATTTGTTAGTGTTTTGACCAAAGCGATAACGCTTTGGAGGTCGGGAAATTGACCGGTGGAGGCCATTGTCAGGTCAACAGAGCGGGTGCGATCGAAAAAGAACACCAAGTGTTGTCAAGGAACATATGAATTTAAAAAAAAGCACACTTTTGGTGTCTTCGAGGAGAGGCATCTCAATCCCTCGTTCTTTCTCTCTTTTCGCCCTTTTTGAGGTATTCCTCTGGCGTATTATTGGTAACTGGAAGCTCGCCAAGTTGAAGAATCTATAATTGTTCCACTTGAATGGTGAGAATCAGCGAGGTTGACATGATTGCGGTCGAGAGAATGAATGCGACTGAGCTGCGGCGGCAATGATCTCTCGGAGGTTGAGGAGCATGTTCTCCGACAATGGCCATTGATGACATAAAGCAACTTGGGGTGTAAAAAAAAAAAAAAAAAAAAAAAAAAAAAAAAAAAAAAAAAAAAAAAAAAAAAAAAAAAAAAAAAAAAAAAAAAAAAAAAAAAAAAAAAAAAAGTATCAACTCCTCAATTTCGGTCAACATTTTATCTTCATTGATCTTTTTTTTTTATTTCCATATCATTACTTCTTTTGCTTGTTAAGAAGAAAGATTAAAAATAAATAAAAATGGCAAAGAGTGCTCGCGCAAGCGTTATGAAGCGCAACCATGCAAAGCTTCGAGCAACAGTCTTTGGGCCTGTGTCTGATGCGCGGACAGCAAGACTTGCTGCAAAGCTGCAGGACCTCGCCTCCCAGCCAAAACCTTTGCAAAATGAGAAGACGAACAAGGAAGATGTTACTGAGATGGGTAAGACAGTCGCTCACAGCTGTGCGTGTTTTATATGCTCATGTCTCATGTCACAGATAAACCAGCAGACGCCCAAAAGCCCGAAGCAAGTGAAGGTTGTTATAACCCTCCCCCCACTTTTTAGTCTCGTTCTCAAACGTATATCTAGAATTGATGCTAACTTCGTGAAAAGATATGGACATTGACAGAAAAACCGGCACATCCACCAAACGCCGCTCTAATAAATCGGGGCGCATTCAAAAACGCGAAAAGAATTCCATTGTTTTCCGGTCGACTGCAACCAAGGCGAAGGCCACGAGAAGAAAGTAAAACGAGTCGCTACGCACTAGAAAAGTTATTGGAGACTGAAATCATAATATCATGATTATGGTGTTTGGAGTTGGTCTTATTTTTCTTTGCATGTCATGATACCAAAGGAAACCACCATGTCTTGTCATTAAATCCCCATTTCAACGAGTTACTAGATCAATTTTTTTTATATGAATTCTCAATTACTAGAAATATGATTTAATTAGTGAAAGCGATCAGATATTAGCATTAGCAGTGAGATAGTACTCAGCATATATACGTATATATTCCATAATCGGCAGGCGGTGTGATATCCGCAATGGACTTGGTCTCGCCCATCATGGGAGTCTTCAACAACATCGTGTACTCAGTGCATAACAGATTCTTTTTTCGTTTTGTATTGCTGCTATCCTATTTTCATATCTTTAATGACATCTCTAATTCGTTCCAATTAAAGCAGCGCAGCTTGGGGTTGGTTCTATGCGCTTGAGACACCCCTGGTAGACTCGATTTGTTCCGAAGGATGGCTGTTCTCCCATGGAACTGGGCAATATGGCTTGCCAATTTACTTATTCCAGTAGCCATTCTGGTCTTTTCATCGGGATTCTTTCCATATAAACCATTGCTTCCAGGGTTAGCGACATTTGAGGAGGCCAATGGCAGTAGTAGGCCACCCGCAATATTTGATAAAGTCATCTTCATGGTGGTGGATGCATTGCGCAGGTACGACTGTTTTTATAGGACTCAGTACACCTACAGCTAAAAGCAATGATAGCGATTTTGCCTTTTCTAGTAATTCGGGATTTGCCTTTGCCCAAAGGTCAGCAACAATCCTAGGATCATCACATCATTCTGTCTAATACTTCTGGCCCTCATTCCTACAGCTTGATTCGATCTGGTGCCGCGCTCCCATTTACCGCTCATGCGAGCTCTCCAACGGTCACAATGCCTCGGTTGAAGGCTATAACAACAGGATCGGTCCCGTCGTTTCTAGACGTAATCCTGAATATCGCCGAGTCCGATACATCCTCTACTCTCGCCTACCAAGACACGTGGCTCGCTCAGCTAAAAGCACGAGATAATAGGCTCGTTATGTATGGCGACGACACCTGGCTCAAGCTTTTTCCTGGGATGTTTGATAGGGCTGATGGGACCACAAGTTTCTTTGTGTCGGCAAGTTGTACTTCAAGCACTTGTGTATGGGCCGAATGAGGCTAATGACTCATCACATAGGATTTTACCGAAGTTGATAACAATGTGACACGCCATATTCCCGAAGAGCTTCAACATAGTGACTGGTCCGCACTCATTATGCATTACCTAGGACTGGATCATATTGGGCATAAGGCAGGACCCAAAAGGTAGGGCATTAATCACCTGCCAAATAAAGTAGCACATACTGACATTTCTCGAGTCCATACATGATGTCAAAGCAAGAGGAGATGGATTCCATCGTCTCCCAGGTATATTCAGCCATGGAACAGGAAGAGCATCTCCAGTCAACTCTTTTCGTTCTGTGCGGGGATCACGGTATGAATGATGCCGGTAACCATGGTGGTTCATCCGCTGGTGAAACTTCAGCAGCCTTACTTTTCGTGTCTCCAAAATTCAAATCTAGGGAAGTTCAGAAAGAAAGCCCCGTGGAAGCGACCAACGAACTGCAATACTATCGTACCGTCGAGCAGACGGACATTACACCGACTTTGGCTGGGCTCCTTGGATTGCCTATTCCATTGAATAGTTTGGGAGTTTTCATCCCGGAACTACTGGTAATGTGGGATCATGGTATGGCATTCTTTCTATCCTTCTTTCTTTTTGGTGTCTCTGATTGGAAACTAGGTTCTGAAAGAGTCGATATTCTGATGGAAAATGCAAAGCAATTACTGAGGACAATGAAGGCGGCTTTTCCAAGTTACACTTTCGAGTTTAGTGCAATGCGGTCTGCTTGCGAATCTGGACCTTCTACGGATATGGAAGAAGCGCAATGCGCTTGGTCCCAAATCCACGAACTGCTACAAGAACCACATACGGACGATGTGTCCGCTTCTATTCAGGCAGTTCTTTTGCGCTTTTTGAGGATCTCCCAAAATGTGATGAGCAGCACCGCCGGAAATTACGATGTCAAAAGACTCTATCTAGGTATTTCTATCACAGGCATTGCTGCTCTGCTTTCCTTCCCTGCGACATACAAATTGCTAGCGAGATCCCATCATCCAGGATCATTCCTCTTGTTCAGTATTTTCGGTTATGGCGCTATGATGTTTGCTAGTAGCTATGTGGAGGAAGAGCAACAGTTTTGGTATTGGATCTTCACTGGATGGATATTTTACCTACACGTTAAGTCCAACGGACATCAGGGCAAACGTGTCACACCTGATCATAAGCCCAGAGGCTACCAATTGCTATCTTTATTTTCTGCAGCAGGAACAATCGGGCTCGGAATCACCCATCGAATTCTAAGACGATGGAATCAAACGGGACAGAAGTTTGCCGCTGAGCCGGACATTGCTCGTACTTTCTTCTCTTCCCACCAGGACACACTCTGGTTCCTGGTTATTCTAACATACGCCAACACCTTCAAAAACCTACTTGTCAGCTTGCCTTCCTCGTTGGCTTGGCGCCTGGTTAGCCTTTTTGCGACGTTGACTGCATTTATCTTCAAAATTACGTTCGTGACATCCGACTCTCCTGAACTCCTCAGTGAATCTTTCCTGGGCCCCTTGGCAAAGACAGTCGGCCATGTATCGCTGGTGCTACAGGCGAGGATTGTTTTCTGTGGAGTTGCCTTGATGGTGCTATATGCGATGGTCGCTAGGAGTGGCACATTGCAAGTTTCCAATAAACATAAAGGCAAGCCAGAAAGTCTGTTTCTCTGGCAATCCACTAACCGAGATTTATCAGCGTCAAGTGCCATGTTCCATGAGGCACTCACGCTTTTCTTGATCACGCAATCAAGAGCCACAAACGTCCCGCTCTTCTTAATATTCAGAATACAATTCTACATCCTCGCCTCGATGGAGATTACTGGAATTGAAGCCAGCATTACATCCATACTTTCGCAGTACATGACCTTCTTTGCATTTGGTGGCTCAAATGCCATTTCCTCGGTCGACCTTTCCAGTGCATTTAACGGGATTGGCAGTTATAATATCATACTCGTGGGACTATTGACGTTCGTGGGTAACTGGGCAGGCCCGATATGGTGGGTTTCAGCAACTCGTCTTCTCCGCACGAGCCGAACTTGGACAGAAAAACAGGGCCATATCTCGCTTTTGACATTTCATGCCGCAACAGCGTTATTGTGTGTGATGGCTGCATGCGCGACATTGAGGACCCATCTCTTCATCTGGACAGTGTTCTCGCCAAAGTTTCTATATACGATGGCGTGGGCTACACTTAACCATATTGTTATCAATGTATTAGGGGATATAAATCTCCTGGCGCGTTGATGGATTATCTTATACAATCAAAATCCTGGTCTTCCAGTCTAGTCATTATGGCAAGTCTTAGGATACCACATTACAAAAATCAGGGATAGAATAATGTATATTCTTCGTATGTCTATAATACACCGGCAAAAAGGTCGTCAATAGCGTTCTTCTTCCGTTTCTTTTTCTTGGGCGCCTCGGTTTCCACCGCCTGAGCCTTCTTGATGGTGTCGTGAGGACGAATAACTGGCCCAGGTGAATTACGGGCTTCTGAGACTTTGGCCCGCCTTGGTACATCTTCAGTTCGATGGACAGGCTCTCCCATATCCTCTTTCTTAGGAGGAGCCTTGGTATTGGAGCGAGAGATCCTGTTCTCTTTTCTCTCCGCTTGGGACAGATGCTTCAAGTCACGGTTGATCCCCGTGGCCTCGGTAAGACGGGCAAGTGTAGCCAGCAACACTGTTCCGAGTGTTGAGAATTGCCCGTCGGCTACTACAGTTGAGAATGCCCTGGAAGGAGAATTAGCACATGTTCATTGTTAGGGCAGCCTACGCGGCGTAATTCTCCACTTACAGATAACATTTGGGCACAACCTGCATTGCCATATATCGCTTGTGCGATTCTATGGATGAATCAATTTCGTCGTATGGGCGTAAAAGTTTCTGATCAAGAGATCTTGCCAAGTTTAGAGTTACACGTTTGAGGATGGATAGCCACTTCCACCATTTTGTTTTCCCGTGCTGGTTTTTGTTGCGATGATAGATCAAATGAAGCATTGAATGCACAGCAAAAACCTCTTCGGTCTCCATTATCAGGGCTCCTGGTTTGTAGCCTTATGACTCGATGTCTAAAGCCGTATCAAGCTCATCTCAAAAAAATGAGACTCAGTACCTTAGGCATAAACTATCTTCTAAGAAAATCCGTTCACCCCCTATTCCGGTGAGAAAATGATGGCCCATAAAAACATATGGCAAAGGGTAATTCTTCTTACCATTCAAAGTTTGGGGTTGCATGGTAAGAGGTGCTGCAAAGGAGTGTTCTCGCCCATTATTCGAGACGGATGAAAATGTTTGTCCTACGGTCACGTGTTAAGCACGTGATATAATAGCCCTCAGAAGCGACACCAACTCTATAAATATTAATTAGGGATCCCCCCCCCCGGGCCAAAAAAAACCTCTCTTCCCCTCGCTTTTTCACCTCTTTCTCTCCCATTCCCCCCCTCCCCCTCCCCGAATGAATGTATAGTGCTGTGTAATGCAGCCCAAGAGTTTTCCAGCAGGCTCCTGCGAGGGGAGGCTCCACCAGTGTGTATGATAGAATTAGCTTAGCTACCAAATAGGCGGTTTACTCTCCGCCCGTCGTATGTTCCGTTTTGGGACCCCGTGGCACGTGATCCTACTTGGCATGTGACCGATTATCTGACGTAAAATAGCAACTACTACTACTGCTGCTGCTGCTGCTACCACTAATATCAGTTAGTTAGGAGTAGTTGAGTCACAAAAACAAGGGCAAACACAGTTATTAGTCAATTTAAGGGCAACATCAAAATATTTATTAGAGTGCATGTGCCAGTCAGTGGAGATGTCTCCTGGAGGCTTGATTCAGAAAAAAATATTGAGGAACGAAGGCATTAGTCTTAAGAACCTACTCGACAGTGTAGGTTTGTTTGCTCTCCTATGCTTTCTTTCATGGATGATATTTGTAAAGTGATAGATATTGATATTGTTTGAACTAGGGCTTTAGATGCACTTGTTGATGCCTTTTACCTATATTTCTGCACGCAGACAGTGAAAGGTCAAGCATAGACATTATCAAGCATAACTATACCCAGTTGGTTGAATTTGCGCTCATTGAAAGGTACTCGTTGCGAGGTCCCATGAGATACCACCAACTCAGGGGGCAAGGACCTGTAGTAGTGAACCCAACCCCGAGCACCCTCATCATTAATAAATAACGACCGAAATTACCAAGGTCTACAGGGCTGGACCAGCCAATTGCACTGTCAGATTTAAATTTTGTCTAACCGAGTCCTTAACTGCCATTAGATTTGCTATGGGACAAACATATTAACAGGAAACACCGTTTCCAAGGGAAGATTAACCCAACATTTGACTCAAATCGAGACACCACACCCAAGCCAGCAGGGTGTAAAATGGCATTTCTCCTGTGAAGTCAAAATGTCACAGTATCCCCAAACAGACATTGTACTTGAAACATATTTTGCCTTCATGCGTTCAGTTTCAAGCTTAACCGCATATGATGCAGAGCGCAGATAGTTCCAACTTTTTTTTTTTTCTTCGTTCTTCTAGTGAATCCCATATCCCCCATCTGCTTCTGACAAGGCGTCGATTGATTGAGAGAGTTCGTTTTCCCAGAGGGGTGGAAAAGAGAAAAGGAAGAACAAAAGGAAAAAGAAAATGAAGAAAGGATAGAAAGGAGTAAGACAAAGGGTCCATCTGAGAGAAAGGCAGATGAGGGATTGGAAGAAAACAAAGCTCCAGATCCAGATCAAGAAGTTCTGGGACCTCGAGCCCTAATTGTTGTGTCATCTTCATACCAGATTTTGCCAAGAGGATAAGTGCAAGGAGTAGCTCTAAAGGTATCATTTTCCATAGAAGAGTGTTTCGGAGCGATCGTTCGAACGTATACAATTTCCCGTTCGGCAGCAGTGGTTCCGCGGTCGAATTGCGAGCGACGACGACGTTGCTCATCGCGATACTGCTGGCTAACACGGGGAGCAAACAGTCCTAGATATGATGTTATAAGTCAGTGGTGTCTCCCATGTAGAGTAAGATGTGGAACGGACCAATGTGCTCTGCATTCTCGATACTCCGACGCATTTTTGATGGATTGTCTGGCCCAGGGAAACGATCCTCAGTGCCAGCAAGAGGACCGGTTCCAGTATGGAAGATCTTTAATCAATGTAAATATATATACTATTTCCCCTCCCCCTTCTATGGAAAAGCATACCTTAGGGCGGAACGAGGGGTGCTCGAGCATAACCGAACTGTTACGGAACTTCTGTATGAGACAATCTTTCCCTTGGATGGCTAATCTTAGGTTTCAGTACATAATGTCCAAACTTGGAGAAACTGCGCTGCAGGTACTTACTTGCGTATGAAACTTCCGCAACCTTGTCACTGTTAAAGCAGTTCCTAAGAGGGAGTTAAACACAATACCATTAACCGTGTGAAGCAAAAAGAGATACGTACCAGCTGCGTCCGGCTCGGACGTTGACAAACTATAGAGTGTAAAAATAAGTCCAGATCGTTCATCTATTGAGGAACATGACTCACATCAATAATATCAATCGGCTAACATATTATTGTCAGTTTGACTTTAGTACCATGTAGGTTGGGCGGGACTAACTTACGTCTTCGAAATTTATAAAGGCGTAGCCAACACTGGCATAAAATCGTGAGTAAAAGAAAGAAGATAGGGTGAGGAGGAAAAGATTATGAGGAAACATAAAAAAACTAACTTGCAGTTGTTTGCAAAATCTAGACTCGACGCAATTAGATCTCTTTTGCGGTCAATATTTTACTTTTTTCGGGATTTCTTACCAATTCGTAGATACATGAAATCATATTTGCCGTAGCTAGTCTCGTCAATGATAGATTTCAGCATGCCCTGATATAGGTTAGAAATGTGCTTGCGGTATTTTTTTAGATGGATTGCTCCTAACCTGGTCGATTTTATTTGGAATGTTGCGCAGCATGATCTGGAGTTCATTAAGACTTGTTATTTCGCAGCCATTGGCAACAGATTTCATATTACATACCGTTGTGCGAACATCTAAGCCAAGGCGAATCCGCTCAACATCGACAGCGTTTTGATTTCCAGGACGAGAATCAGAGTAACGACCAAGCTCCCGGCGGGGCGATGGCAAAACATTCTCACCCGTCTTAGACATCCAGTCCATGAGGTCAGCATGCTCGCCTTGAGGAACTGTAGAACGGCCCGTAGGGCTTAGCTCCATACAAGGGGTGCGAGTTGGTCGGCCGTGGTTCAAGGAAATGCGCCTGGGATAGGGATCTTCGAAATGGAAAGACCTGTCTTTCACTGGAGTCGTCGGGCTCGGAAGCGGAAGATAAGGGTTATTGTTAGTTAGATCTGGATGGAAGTGTGAAACTTCGAGAACGCAGTCCTGTGTAAGTAGAAGAAAGTCAAAATTTCTCTCTTGTAGTAAGACAAAAAGCGCAATGAAAAAAACACCCCCAGGTAGAAAGAATCAAGAGAAATGAAGAGGAAAAGAGAGAAGCTTACATCAACTCTAGCGCCATTCAAACTAATAGAAGCATTCTCCGCATCCCGAGTGTTGAAAAATTCAAGATGAAACTCACTGACATTATCCTGACTATTAGACAACTGGCTGAATGCTTTAATGTCACCAAAAGTCAGGACAAGTGCCTCGAGGGAACGTGACACCGAGTGTTGGTTCAACTTAGGGTTCCTGCTGTCATAATAAACGGCAACCAGTAACTGGCCTTCGAAATCAGAGGTCTTTGGAAGCAGAGATGGATCTGAACGTTGAGCCAACTCCCTGGCAGTAAGAGGAACGATGTGCCATTCTGGTCGAAGAAGATGAACCTTTTCGAATGCATTTTTGGCATCTCGGCTATCGGTAAAGGAAAGATATACATTTCCCATGGAGTTGAGTTCAGTGAGTACAGGACCCTTGAGAGTCCCAAATTCGCGACGCTATATACTCTTGGTCAGTATGGGGGAAACAAGACACATGGGTTTTGCCAGGCAACTCACGTTAAAAAAACCAGCCAAAGCCATATACGAGAGGTTAGTGGGTACATTCTCAATGACAAAGGCACGGCTCCGTCGCTCAGAATCAAGCTTTTCGATTGGCACGCTGGACGTGAAGTTGTTTCTAGCAAAATGAGTGTTTCCAACGGGACCGTATTCCGGCACGTTAGGCTCACTGAATCTGATAACCCCTGCCCCCGGTCCATGTATTTCAGGGTCAGAATTGGCAGCCAGACGGCCGACACTGGAGAAATCACGAGTCAAGGGGGACTCGATTTGGCTCTGACCCGCTATATTACCAGTCATTGAAATAGGCGTGAAGCTTGCTGCCATCGGGGAGAGCTGCACCCGGTTTGAAGGGCCACTTTGTCCCAAAAAGGGGTCTGAAGAGGGCCTGGGCAGTATCAGTAGACAGGATCTCATAATGTCAAACGTGTTTCCTTCAGACTCACAGCGAATAGACTCTACGGAATCCGGTATCGTTCAAGGGAGTATTGACGCTGGAATTGGAACGCCCCTTTGAACGAACATCTTCAGGAGAGAACGCCGTGAGCTTGGTATCCGATGATCCATGAGGAGAAGGCGGTCCGTTAGTAGAACCTGGGCTGCTCAAAATACGGGAAGAAGAAGCGTTGGATCTCATCTCGACTCAGGAAAGACGAGATGAAGGTCGAGAAACAGTTAATAGCGAGCGAAGGAAAGGATGAAAAAGGATAGCTTGGGCGAACAGTCTCTGGAAAAGAACGACAAATGAGACTGGGAGTCCCGTAGAATCCAGAGACGGAGGGAGAAAAGAGAGAGGGGGAAGAAAGAAGAAGAAAAGGCAAAAGTGATATGGGAGAATATTGGTCTGTCTCCTCCAGCAATGTATATTTTGGAAGAAAACAGAGTGGGCGGGTTTAAGAGCAAAATCTCAAGCCAGGAATGTTATAACACAAACGGCACCACCATGCCATTCCCAATACGGGCCCTCGAAAGTGGAGCAGGGGAATCACTGAGACCATCCAGGCAGAAAGAATCAGTCTGTCCTTCTGAAGGGAATGTTCCATGCTTGAGTTACCCTATTAGGCATAGGGGAGTAGGGTTTGGCATCAGACTAACCAAATCTGTGCACAGTATATCACCACCATCGATGACAGCAAACATTGCAATTAAGAAAGGATAGGAAGATTAGCTGAGCCAAACAATTGTCATTCAAGAGAAGTGAAGACATGTAAAACCTTTTTGTCCAGATACATAGCTTGTTTAGTTGTAAAAAAAAAAGTTACAAAATTCCAGGACCAGCCAGTGACTGTTCTATAACAAAGAAGGAGGCATTAGCAGCATCTTCAGCAATTAGGGCAATGATAAAAACAATAAAGAGAGAAAATGCCGGCATTCGTTGGAAAAAGGATAAGACAAAGGAGAATGGATGAGAATGGCTAGATACAACACAGTCTCTTCTTGACTTTGACCACTGCAGTCTTCGCTTCCCTAAAACCCATAGCGAGGCACAGTCTTTTCTTGGAACTAGTAACGGGCACGAGCAAGCTGAGAAGCTCTGATTATTATTATTATTTAATCAAGTTTATTGTCCATACCGAGCCCTAGAGCTATGACAGACCATTATCCGTGGACTTGAGGCCGTTAGCTATCCTACAGTCTCTTATCCATATAAGTTCCTGGGGCACTAGCCCCCTTCCATACTCTTTCTGATCCTTTTCCTCGCCCCAGACCGCCTGTTTGCGCAGGGCTTTCGAGCACTGTGCTCTCCTTGTGTTTCGTGCAGGATGGGTGCGGCCTAGGCTGACTTCAGCTCAGGCTACCCTTCCTGCTATCCTTC